CCCCAACCCCCCAATGGCATCCTTCTGCTAGTCTTCCAACTTCCAGAATTCAACTCAAAACTCAGTTCCGGTAAGTCTGTCTTGATTTACCCCACTGGGCATAACTATTGTTTTGTGTTTTATTTCCTTAAATGTAGATAGTTTGTGTTGCATTAATTAGATTCTGCTGTTTTGTCATTATGAGATATGTGTACTGTTAACATTTTTTCCTCTTAATTTTTAGAATCTGATGTCCCAGCAGAACTCCAAGTGTTAAAAGGACCCCTACAACAGCCGACTTTCCCTTTTGCGGTTGCAAACCAACTGTTGCTTGTTTCTTTGCTGGAACACTTGAGCCATGTGCATGAACCAAACCCTCTTCGTTCAAGACAGGTGTTTAAATGTTAGTAAATCTTGCTAAATAAGCCTTGTAGAAATACTATGTTGTTTGATGTTGTGGGTCTGAGAAGCAGCTGGTATATAAACATTTGAAATAGGTATTAATAGTTTCTATTTCTTGAATGTGTTTTATATTCTTCTTTGGGTAATTGCTAATGAATATTGTCATTGAAGAGCCCAAAAGATTAATAACCATATGATCGTGTGTATTTAAACAAATGAAAGATAGTTTTTTTGTTTCTATAACATGTTCCTTCATGTAATTTTTGAAGATCTGTCATGGTTTGGTTGGTGAGCAGGTAAACGAAAATCACAGCTACTCATTCTGAAGTAGTTCTTAACCAGAGCCCTGGAAGAGCTGCATGCCGTGTTGTTGAACAGGAAACTGTTTTCCTCTACGTGCTGGATACTTCTGACACCCAGTGTGTGGGTGTTTTCCCGTGCTGACCAGTTCTCTGAAACCAGCTGGGTGTCCTACCATTCAATTCAGTTCTGATACTACTTGGAGTTATTGTCAGTTCCCACAGGTTAAGGGCTCAGTCCCAGACTGCCTTCATTTTGGATGCCAGTTGGCAAGTAGTGGGTCCCCAGTGTCCTCAGGTTACCCGTACTTGTGTCCAACTTGGCTGTAAATTGTTCACTATAAAGGGTCGACCTCTCAGGTTTGATAATTTGCTATAATGGCTCACAGTAGTCGGGGAGACACTTCTGCTTACTGGTTGATTATACAGTAGAGGGTATGATAACAATACAGGTGAACAGCCAGATGAAGAGGCACATAGGATGAGGACCAGTAGGATCCAGCGTATGGGAGCCTCTTTCTCCATGGAGATGGGGTGCATCACTCTGCTGGTAGGTGGATGTGTTCACCCAGAAGCTCCCTGGATCCTGTACCCGAGGGATTTGTATGGAGGCTTCATCATGGTGGCATGATCAATGAACTCAATCTCCTGCTCTTCTCTCCCTGGAGAATGGAGGGGTGGAGCTGAAAGTTCCAAGCTTCTAATCATGGCTTGGTCTTTGTGGTGACCATTCCCCATTTGAAGCTCTCTGGGGGACCCTCAGTCGTCTCATCAGCGTAACAAAGACACTCATCACTCTGGAGATTCCAAGGGTGTTAGAAGCTCTTGTGTCAGGAACTGAGGTCGAAGACCAAATATTAGAACAAAAGATGCTCCTCGCCCCCTCAGCACTTGGGAAATCACAAGAATTTTAGGAGCTGTGTGAATTTTAGGAGATAAGACCAAGCATGTTTCTTATTATACCACAGTGGTTGAAATGTTTATTTTTATTGCTGCCATAGGTTATGTGTGTGAGAAACTTGAACCCCCCCAAAAATTAAAAAAAAAAATAAAAAAAGAAACTTGAGCCCAGAAGTGAGCAGAATTACGGGTTATGATGTTTCTGGTCCAGCTCACTGAGAGCACTGTGGCCTCTTTAATAGCTCCAACCAGCCACAGATTCTGAGGATCTTTTCTACTGAAAAAGTCTAAGTCTTGTTTAGTGTTAGGAATCCTCAGACTTACAGATACCTTTATGCCGTCTTAGAACGGAATGTTCTTAGTTAAAGGCAGATTATTATTTTGATGAGCTCGGTGGGACATGAAAAATGTACGCGTGTACACTTATTTTTTTGAATGAGTGATGGGGAGATGGGTTATACAAAAGCACGTGTTCTGTAGGCTCCGGAACAGTGGTAGCTGGGGATTATTGTATTGAGCTCATTGAATAGAAAAGCAGGTTATAACTACCTTTAAGTAGTAATATTCTTCCTAATTAAAGCAAATCTGAATCTTGCTGATTTTAAGATATTTTTGAATTCTCTTTTAGGTGACTGAACTTTTATTTTTATTTATTATTTATTTATATATTTTTTAAATGTTTATTTTTGAGACAGAGAGAGACAGAGCA